AACCATTTTTTCCCAAATACCTTCAAAGAGGGGTTTTCTTACTTCTGCACAGCAAACTAATACATTCTGCTTGTTTTACAACTCTTCACCTCAAGTGGATGAAGTAATTTGAATTTTAACATTGTTTCTGCCCAAAGACAGAAAACCATAAAATGACGTATATCGCAAACAAAGCTAAAGGCTTAAATCAGATTTTCTCTGACTGGGGTACTCTGTCAGGTCCACCAGAAACTGAGTGCAGGTTCCTATAAAGGTTGTATTGAAAGGTTGGCTGATGACTGGAAGGGAGCTTAGATGAAGACCACTTGTTCCAGCTACAAGATGGAGGGCACAGAAAACCACTGCCCATTGCTGAGCTGGCTGAGAAGCCCCTGGTTTCTAGTCACGGGAGAACAGAGATCAGTGACCTGTAGAGTTGGACAATCAAAAATAATGGATGAGCTTGCATGAACTTGCTCATGCAGCCACTTTGGTCCAGGCATGCAGACTGACACTGTGGGTGATGCATGAAAGATGGGAAGAAAGCGTGTTTTCGAGTGGCAATAGATTCTCCAGCTTGGCCTGATCTCCAGCTTCACCCAGGCAGTAGGAAACTCCTGCCCACCCAGTCACAATGTGCCCTGGTGAATGTGGGCCACAAAACTAGAATTCTCACACTCAGCTTCATACCTCCACTGTTACTGGCTCAGTCTGCTAATCACTCTGCCAGCAGTTGTATTTCTCCCCACTTCAGCAACTACCAACAACTGGGGAAATTCAGTGAACCAGACAGACAGGAAAGCCTATGGGACCATTGGGAATCCAACCCCAACCACCAAACTTCTGTGCCTCCACCACAAACATATCCTTCAACTCCAATAATTTCCTAACTGATGAGATGTACCCCAGTGTGACTGACAGGAGACAATCTGTGCTACGCAGAAACTCAAGAGACAGATTCCTCCAGTGGAGAAGTGCATCATGACTGCTAAAAAAGGGCGCATGTATAAACAGCAGCATCTCAGTCTCAGTGAAGAACTAGCAAATTACGTAAGAAAACCGTTTTCCATGTTTAGTGTTTGTAGAGAGCTACAGAGTCCTAATCCACCACTGGTGCAGGATCTCTGAGGACTTTATGGGTACAAGAGAAGCAGTGAGCTGAACTCCCCTGGCTTTGCTGCCATTCCTTTGCGGGCAAAGGGATACCCCACAGGAGTGAAGTCATCAGGATCTGACCAGACACGTGACACAACTGAAAGCCAAGAGGTATTTTTATGATGTGTTGATCAACAATAGTTGTAACCATATGAAAACGGAAGACGTCTGGGCATCACACTATAGTTTGCTGTAGACTCGCTTTGAAACACATATTGCTCAACTGCGTACTGAAATCCCTTATTTGCACATCAAACAAGGAAGCAGTAAGGAGATAAATGCCTATTCTTTCTGTTTCGCTTGGACACACATAAATTTGTTAAAAAACCTAAAGCCACTTTCATCATCAGATTTATTTCTAAGGGTAATTATCCCAATGTATAAAAAACATTTTTAAAAGATGCTTCCTGGTGTTAATTCCAGTTGGAAAGTATTTTCCATTTCCTCTACCAAGAACTAATGTGACCACATAGTTTGGCAGTTTTACAGTACAAGGTTTTGACCTCTCTTGAGTGATATTAAGGCAGATTTTATTTTTTCCGATACTCCCTGGACTTTGCCATTGCCTAGCTTGGAAAGACAGGAAGCATACGTATTTGCAGTGCTGAAAATGTTATTGTATGCAATGATGGCAATGTTAGTCAGTAGCTTTTCAAAGTAAATGAAAAAATACATAGAAAATTAACCAACTGACAGGCAGACCTTTCCTTCCAAAATTCAAATGTTTACATTCTGGGTGCTACTTCTATTCATTTGGAGGAATGATTCGATTAACATTTACGTTCTTTTGCTTCACTGAAATAACCTATTGTTTCTTACATGGGAGCCTTGACAAAGGCAGGGTATTTATTCTCGCAGCAGGGGGGATCTGCCCAATGTTAATCAAGATTGCAACCTGATGAGACTCAGCAGTTTGCAGCTGCTCCTTCACAGTCAATGAGCTGCAGTGGCAAATTGATTTTTTTCCCCCCTATTTTTACTCAACACAGAAATTGCAAAGTGTTTCTCTAGATGTCGACTGGTCATTGCAGTGCAGACCTCTGCCATCTCTTTGGCTCTGATGACCACACAGAACCATAAGCTGATGAAGAAGAAATGGAGCATGTCGGTGAATGAAGAGAGACCTACCGGCAGTTCAAACCATACTTAGTTGAAACACGTAGTGATTTTCTGGCCATGTTAAAAGGCTCATTTGGCAGAATAAGCTTTTCCCAAAGTGGAAGAATATGTTGCTGGGGAAGGAAAGAGATTCTCTGAGTGATTGAATGTGACATGGACTTTTTTATTCGCTTATATGTGGCAAGTACTACGCTACTCTTCTCTGCACTTACTGTAGAGAATACTTTATAACTGAAGTAATGTGAAATAAATAAAAGACTGGAACAGAGGGAGCCTAAGTTAGGAGTTCCTTCAGAACTGAGTCATGAAACTGATTTTAGTAATTTAATATTTTGATTAATACTAAATATAGTTTGCTGGTGATTCAAAGGATATTTAGAGTATCATGCATTAAAAAAACGAATCACTTTGAATAGCTGAGTCCTAGAAAGAGAATTAATCACAGAACATGAAACTTGGGATCTAATGACAAGAATTTCTATTGCAGGCTCAGAAATCATTAGCTATAAATGATGAAAAATAAGAAAAAAATAACTGTATTAACTGACTACAAAACAATTATGAACCATGGTGTGATTAAAATATAAAAAACACAATAAAACAGGGGGTTGTTGTGAAGTATGAGGGAAATTTCATGACACTGAACAGGATACAGCATTGTGGACTATTTTGATTTCACTTATTAAAAATAACTTCCAACTAAAGCAGATGCACAGAACCGCAGCCAGGGCAACGGAAAGCTTATCTTATCAAACAGACAAAAAGGACTTGCTGTGTTTAGCCTGGCAAAGTAAAGGCGAAGGAAGAGTTTTGGAAGTGACAAGATGCTACCACTGCAATGGACACAGTACAAGAACAAATGGGGATAAGATGCCCATGAGTAATATAAGCTGGAAATCAGCAGGTGATGCTCTTCCATAGGAGGGGTGATCTCTGGGAAAGTTGCAGGGGGGAAAATTATAAAAAAAGAAATTTTTTGTGATTATAGAAGCTGGTGTTAGCACGAGGACTAGCCTACATTTGAAAGAAAACAAGTAACAGTACGTAATACTGGGAAAACACACAAGAAAGCGAATTGCCAACACTAAATGACAGCACACACATTTACATTTCAGGCATCATCTTTGCCTCTGTGGAATCCCACTGGAGCAAGACTGATCCCTAACAGTAGGAACAGCTAACACTAACCAGCATTAATTCACACTATTATTTCCTGGAAATATGTTCAAGGAGTTAAAAGCCAGACTTTCATCTGGGCACTTAGCCGTCCTTTCTGCCTGTCAGACTCATCTCCTGAAACACCATGCTACCCGAAAGGCAAGTTCCATTAGCTGTGCCAATTCTGCACTCATGAGTAAATGTTCAATGTGGTGTACAGGAATTTACCAGCATGACCCCCATTAATGGTAATGCAAGTCATGTAACTGAGTTCCTGCTCACGGGGCTGAAAATTTACCTTGTGCTGCCTAACCCTAAAGGCTGCCTTTTTACTTAGTGCTTGTCCAGAAACAGGTTGGAATTCAAACTTCAAAGACCACATGCTGTAAAACTGAGCAGCAAGAAGAGGTACCAAACAGTGCCAGAGAGAGAACTTGGCCTCCCTTAAACAAACCATGAAAGATGTTGATTCATCCTGGACTCAAAGAAAAAAAAAAAGAAAGAAAGCAAGCAAGCAGCTGTTAAGTGTTGCAGTGTATTATCACCATCACATAGTCATTCTTCAAACATTCTGTGCACCCCATGTTAAAGTACGTTGTGTTCATTGTATTGAGCCTTATGTTTTCTTGATATAATCGCATACAGAGTCACCTGGAGAAGAGACAGAAGCGGCCCTGACTCAGGATTCACACATGAGAGAAGAAGCCATCTACCTTTCTCTCTATCTGTAAAACAAGACGAACCACATTTATGTTCCTCAAATAATGGCAATTAGTACCTAAAATTATATACAATGTTATGAAAGTTTGCCTCACTGAGTTTTCATGACGGAGATTAGTGGTTCTGATCTATGGGTGGACAATCTCAAATCTCATGTCTAACCCATAACATTCTCCCTTGCCCAGACAGAGTCACAGGCAAACTGCAAGAATGACAGTTTCCCAGGATGTGGATGACTTTTGAAAATTGCAGCTCTCTTTCTGACCACAGTGGAATTAACAGTGAGATTCATCTACTGTCCTCAGTGGTGACCTGGAGGAGTGACCATCTCAAGTTGCAGAGGTGCATGTAACTCCCTTTGGTCACCTGCAGTGACTTTCTCAGGTTGCAGTGAGAGAATGCCACTGTGAAGGTATTTTACCAGTGATGCCAAATCCGATTTTCATGAAACCCAAGTACGGAGCAATGAACTGTTTGAACTTCTCCCCACAAATTCAACAGAAAGAAACATATGTAGGTTCTCCCAGGTGCGTGTAAAACCCTGAGAAGCTTAATCTGTGAACTTGTGTTTTATAAATGGAGACCAGATAGAGGAGACAAGGTCATCAAAACACATCTGTTTATAGTT